ACGGCGGGCGGGGACATCGCTGCGCCTCGCTGGCACGGCCGGGGCACGGGCGGCTCCCGGAGTCCCGGCAGCTCCGGCGCCGGACGCGCTTCCCCGAGCGGCCGCAGCTGCGGGAGCAGGGACCCCAAGCGCCCCACTCCGTCCAGCCGGGCTCTGGGGGGACATTCCCCACGGGAATCGGCTGCGCCCCAGCCCCGGCCTGGGGTGGCCCCGTGATCACCCCCCGGTCACGGACTGGGACGGGGATTCAGGTCCTTGGGGAGATCCCCGTGCTTGTCACACCCAGGGACACCCCAGGGACACCCCAGGGCCACCCCAGGGCACCCCAAGGCCACCCCAATGTCATCACCCCAGGGACACCCCAGGGCACCCCAGGGCTACCCCAGGGCCACCCCAAGGCCACCCCAGGGCACCCCAGGGCACCCCGGGGCCACCTCCAGCAGCGACTCCGCAGCCACCCCGTGTCCCTGGCAGCACCCAGGCACGGGTGGGTGGCACGGCAGGGTTCAGGTGCCACCCCCACCCCGTGTCCCCTCCCTGGCAGCCCCTGGGGACAGGCGGGTGGCCCTGGGGGCTGGCGGTGCCTACCTGGGCAGGGCCCGGCGCTGCAGGGCCGGCGCTCGGTGGCCTCGCCCTGGCACCGGGGCTCCGGGGGCACGGCCGGGCCACGGGCACCGCGGCAGCGCCGGGAGCGGCTCTGGGTGCCGCGGGTGCCGCAGGCGCTGCGTGAGCAGGGGCTCCACGGGGACCAGGGCGACCAGTCAGGGTGATCTGCGGGACACTGGGAGTGACCGGGAGCGACTGGGAGCGACTGGGAGCGACTGGGAGTGACTGGGAGCGACTGGGATGGTCTGGGAGCGACTGGGAGTGACTGGGATGGACTGGGACGGACTGGGAGTGACTGGAGACGGCAGCGCAGGGGTTAAAGGGGCACGCGCCACCCCCATCCCACAGCCCAGGGGGAACACGGGTGGGACACGGGCGGGGTTCAGAGGAGATCCAGGTGTGCCCCAGGTGTGCCCCAGGTGGAATACAGGTGTGCCAGGTACCCCCAGCTGCCTCCCAGCTGCCCCCCGGTGCCCCCAGCTGCCCCCGGTTCCCCCCGGTTCCCCCCGGTTCCCCGGTGCCCCCCGGTGCCCGGTTCCCCCGGTACCCCCCGGTACCCCCCGGTGCCCCCCGGTACCCCCCGGTGCCCCCAGCTGCCCCCCGGTGCCCGGCTCACCGGGCGGGCACAGGAAGCGCAGGCGGTAGCTGGCGCAGGCCGTGCCCGGTGGCCGCTGGCGGGGCGGGCAGCGGGGGCCGCCGGCGGGGCTGGCACCGAGCCCCGGGGCCGGTGCTCGGCCGCCGCCGCGCGCCTCGATGGCCACGGGCCGGGAGCACGGGCGGGCACCGAGCCGGGCCCTGCCGGTCACCGGGACCCGCCGGCCCCCCGCACCCCCGGGGGGAGCGATGCTGAACCACGGGGTCCACACGGTGCCTTCACCTGGGACAGGGACAGCGGGGACAGCGCTGGGGGACAGGGCTGGGGACAGTGGGGACAGCTGGGGACAGCGGGGACAGGGGGGACAGTGGGGACAGATGGAGACAGATGGGACAGGGCTGGGGACAGCGGGGACAGATGGGGACAGATGGGGATGGCCAGGGACAGATGGGATGGGTTGGGATGGTGGACGATGGCTGGGGATAGGTTAGGGACAGTTTGGGGACAGTTTGGGGACAGCTGGGGATGGTTGGGACAGCTGGGGATGGTTAAGGACAGGTTGGGGATGATTTGGGACAGGTTGGGGACACGGAGGGTTGCGGGTGTGGGCAGAGAGGGTCACTGAGGGGCTGGTGGGGTGGGGATGGGCAGTGGGGCAGTGGGAGGGACACGGGGTGGGGCTGTGGGGACATGAGACGGGACAGGGGTGACCCCAGGGGACATGGCAGGGTCATGTGGGAGGTGGCACGAGGTGGGCACTGTCCCCAGATCCATGGAATGTCACAGGGGTCCCCAGCAGCGTCCCTTGGGGGTGGTGCAGGGCAGGCCCTGGCCCTGGGGACACGAGGGGACACGAGGGGACACGAGGGGACACGAGGGGACACGGGGGGACACGGTGGCCCCGGGGTGGCCGCACCTGCCGTGCCCGGGTCCGGCTGCTCCGGGGCTCCCCAGCTCTGCCCGGCCGTGCCAGCCCCGCCCGGCTCCGGGCGCGGCTCCAGCGGCTCTGGGGACACACAGGTGGCACTGCCACACCCGGCCGTGTCCCCGCGGGGTGGGGACACCCTGCCCCGAGCCCCCAACCCCGGGGGACAGCATTTGCCGTGTCCCCAAGGCCGGGCTGGCGGTGCCACCGAGGGTGAGCCGTGGTGGCAGCCGGGGATGGCCCGGGGGTGGCCCGGGGGTGGCCCGGGGGTGGCCCGGGGGTGGCCCGGGCTGGAGCCCACCCCACATCCATGGGAACGCCCCCAGCCACTCCCGGCTGTCCCGTGGGGGGACAAGGACACGAGCCCACAGCCCCCACCACTGGTGCCACCACCGCGGTGTCACCAAGCCCCAGAGCGGGAGGGGACAGGAGCCCGGGGTGTCCCCACAGCTGTCCCCGCATCCTCCCCCGGGATCCCGCAATTCCGGAGGGGACGGGTGGGACAATTCTGTCCCCTGCCACCCGCGGGTGGCACCCCTGGGTCACCTTGGGCACCCCGTGGCCACCACACCTGCTCCAGCAGCCACCCCATGGTGGGGGACCGACCCTGCCACCCTCTGTCCCTGTCCCTGTCCCTGTCCCTGTCCCCGTCGCTGTCCCAGCCCCAATTCCCGAACCACAACCCTCAAACTCCAAGCCCAAACCCCAAACCTCAAAAACCCCAAATCCAATCCTCAAACCCTAAACTCCAATTCCCAAACCCCAAATACCACCGCTATTCCCAAACCCCAAACCCCAAAAACCCCAAACCCCAAAACCCCCGAACTCCAATTCCCAAACCCCAAAAACCCCAAACCCCAAAACCCCCAAACTCCCATTCCCAAACTCAAACCCCAGAAACCCCAAATCCAATCCCAAACCCTAAACTCCAACTCCCAAACCCCAAATACAGCAACTCCCGAACCCCAAACCCAAACCCCAAAAACCCAAACCCCAAAACCCCAAAACCCCCAAACCCCAAAACCCCCAGACCCCAAAACCCCCAAACCCCAATTCCCAAACCCCGAACCCCAAAAACCCCAAACCCCAAAACCCTCAAAACCCCAAAACCTCCAAACTTCAATTCCCAAACCCCAAAAACCCCAAACCCCAAAACTCCGAACCCCAAAACCCCCAAACTCCCATTCCCAAACTCAAACCCCAAAAACCCCAAACCTCAAAAACCCCAAACCCCAGTTCCCAAACCCCAAACTCCAATTCCCAAAAACTCCCAAAACCCCAATCCCTTACCTGCTCCCAGCGCCAGCGCTGCCAGCATCGCCAGCTGTGCCAGCAAACATGCCAGCTGTGCCATCCGTGCCACCCGTGCCACCCGTGCCAGATGTGCCAGCTGTGCCACAGCCGCTCCGGGCAGTGCCAGCTATGCCACCCGTGCCAGATGTGCCAGTTATACCAGCTGTACCACCCGTGCCACCCGTGCGAGCCGTGCCACCCGTGCCACCCGTGCCACCCGTGCCACCCGTGCCAGCTGTTCCAGATGTGCCCCCCGCGCCCCCCGCGCCCCCCGTGCCCGGTGCCGGTGCCGGTGCCGGTGCCGCGGCCGCCCGCGCTCCGAGCGCCGCCGCCGCCGGGGCCGCGCGGTTTTTATGCGCCGGGAGCGGGGCCGGGGCCGTGCCAGGAGCGGGGCCGGGGCCGTGCCAGGAGCGGGGCCCGGCCCGGGCAGCGCCCGCGGCTCCCCCGCGGGGATTTCCTCCCGGGGCTAAAACCGGACACGGCGGGAGCGCGGCAGGAGCGAGCGGGGCAGCGGGGAAGTGAGAGAGAGACCGGGGGATGGAAATACCGGGGAGATGGAAATACCGGGAAAATGAAAATACCGGGGGAAAAATGAAAATACCGGGGGAATGGAAATACCGGGGGAATGAAATACCGGGGAAATGAAATACCGGGGAAATGAAAATACCGGGGGATGAAAATACCGGGGAAATGAAATGCAGGGGGAAATGAGATACAGGGGGAAATGAAAAATGCAGGGGGAAAATGTGGAGGAAATAAAAGGATGGGGGAAAGGGAAATATGGGGAAAAGGGAAATATAGAGAAAATTATAAGTACAGGGAAAAAATATGAGGAAAATCAAAGGATGGTGAAAAGGGAAATAGGGCGGAAAGGGAAATATGGGGAAAAGAAAACTATGGGGGAAAGAAAACTATGGGGAAAAGAAAAATACGGGGGAAGTAAAAACAGGGGGAAAATTCCTACTGGGATGGACTGGAACGGACTGGGAGGAACTGGGAGGAACTGGGAGCCCCCATCTCTCTCTCCCAGATTCCCCCAATCTCCCCCAGGCCTCATTCACCCCAAATTCATGAAAATCTGGGAATCCGCTCTGGTTTGGGGGCGCCGGGAAGCGCTGGAGGAGATTTGGGGTAAACGAGGGACCCCCGAGCTGGAACACCCCAAAACCTCCCAAATGCACCCCCAGATTCCCTCGGGCCCCTCTGGACCCCAAACCCCGCCGGGATTTGGGACCGCTCGGGCCCGGGGCACCGGCGGGGCTCGGGACCAGCGGAAATCCCGGGGTGACAGGGGAGGTGACACGGCTGTCCCCAGCAGGGGGGTGGCACCGCCGGGGGGCCAGGCCGGGTCCCCAAACCTTGGACTGAGTCTCAGGACAAGTCCCCAACCCAAGGCAAGGCCACCAAGGTCCCCCTGTCCCCACCGAGGGGCCACAGCGCTTCCTTCTGGGGCCACCGGGGCTGGGTTTGGGGTCCCAGGGCCACCAGCGCTTCATTCTGGGGGTCACAGGGCCAGCCGTGGTTTGCTTTGGGGGCCACCAGGGCTTTATTTGGGGTCCCAGAGCCACCACCAGGTTTTTATTTGAGGTCACAAGGCCACCAGGGCTTTATTTGGGGTCCCAGGACCCCCAGGGTTATTTGGGGTCCCGGGGGTTATTTGGGGTCACAGGGTGTTTTCTGGGGTCCCGGGGGTGATTTATTTGGGGTCCCGGGCGTGATTTATTTGGGGTCCCGGAGGTGATTTATTTGGGGTCACAGGGGTGATTTATTTGGGGTCCCGGGGGTGATTTATTTGGGGTCCCGGGCGTGATTTATTTGGGGTCCCGGAGGTGATTTATTTGGGGTCACAGGGGTGATTTATTTGGGGTCCCGGGGGGGATTTATTTGGGGTCACAGGGGTGATTTATTTGGGGTCCCGGGGGTGATTTATTTGGGGTCACAGGGGTGATTTATTTGGGGTCCCGGGGGTGATTTATTTGGGGTCCCGGGGGTGATTTATTTGGGGTCACAGGGCCACCACGCAGTCGCTGCCCGGGTACTCGCGGGGGCTGATCCCGAATTTCCGCTGCAGCTCCTCGGGCACGAAGCGCCCGGCCAGGAAATGTCGCCGTCCCTGGAAGCGCCGCGCCACCTCCTTGGGGGCCGCCAGCGACACCAGCACGTCGGGGCTGATGTCCCCACTGCCACCCGGGCCCGCCGCCCACCCTGCGGGGACAGCGGTCAGGGGACAATGGGGACAGTGGGGACAGAGAGGGGACAGCGGGGACAGCGGTCAGGGGACAGCGGGGACAGTGGGGACAGAGAAGGGACAGCGGGGACAGCGGGGACACCCGGGGTGGCTCAGGGGTGGCCCGGGGGTCTCGCTGCTGCCGTGTGACAGAGGGAGGGGACACCGGGAACACCTGAGGGGACACGAGAACACCTGAGGGGACACGGCAGCACCTGAGGGGACACGGGGACACCTGAGGGGACACGGGGACAGCAGAGGGGACACGGCAGCACCTGAGGGCACATCCAGGCTGACGATGGGGATGCGCACCAGCCGCAGCGTGGCCAGGATGGCCGCGCAGGGCTCTGTCCCCGCTGTCCCCTCTGTCCCCTCGGCTCCCAGCACCGCGTCCACCACGGCGTTGTAGGCGTCGTTGATGAGCTGCACCTGGGGCGACAGCGACATTTGGGTGTCCCCGAGCCCCGGCGGTGCCGCTTCGCTGCCGACACGAACCCCCAAAAGCGGCGGGGGGGGGGCCGGGCCGGGCCCGGCACGCCGAGACGCGCGGCCCGGGCCAGGACGGTGAATTTTGGGTCAAATTCCTCCGCTCCCAGCGCCGGGAGAGGCCAAAAACAACAGAGCCGGTGGCTGGAGGCGGCGGCCGCTGGATTCCGTGGCATCCCCGGGATCCCGGCAGCGCCGGCACCGGCGGGGGGCGCGCACAGGGAAAAACAGAGCCGGGATTTGGGGGTCCGGGGCTCGGGAGGGGAACGGGAGAGAGGAGGGATGAACAAGGGGGGTGGGTGGGGAAACAAGAAAGGGAAAGAGGGATAAATCTGCGATATCCGGCAGGGGGGTTTTAGGGAGTGGGAAAGGAGAAAAGAGAAGGGAAAAGGGAAAACCGGGAGGATCTGGGGGCTCGGAGAGGGAAAAAGGAAGGAGAGGGATAAGCAGGGGGATTTTGGGAGGGGAAAAAAAGAGAAGGGAAAGAGGTAACCAGGGGGATTTGGGGGATTTCAGGGGAGGGGGAAAGAGGAGAAGGGGGATAAACAGGGGGATTTCAGGGGAGAGGAAAGGGAAGGAGAAGGGAACAAGCGGGGAATTTGGGGGGCCGGGGTCACCTCGGTGGGCAGGTAGGACAGGAAGGGGATGTCCATCTTCTCGCACTGCGTGGTGAAGTCGCGGTGCAGCGGGTCCGGGGAGCGCTTGGGGTAGAAGATGGTGGGCTCGTAATCCTGCGGGAAAGGGCAGCGCTGGGGCCGGCAGCTCGGGAGGAAGGCCGGGAGGAGGAGGAGGAGGAGGATGGGGGTGCGGAGGTACCCACAAAGCTGCGGAGGTGGCGGGCGCACACCAGCCCGATGGCCCCGTTCTGCGCCGGCCCGCACGCCACGAGCAGCGTGGGCTGGCGGCGCGGCAGCGACGGCAACGGGAACGCCTGCGGGGACAGCGGGGACACCGTCACACGGCGGGGACAGCGCGGACACCGTCACACGGCGGGCACAAGGGGACACGGGGATGGCCCGGTGTCACCCGGGGTCGTGGCAGGGGGAGCAGGGGAAAGGCTGTGGGGACGTCACGGTGTCACTGTCGCATGGCAGCCAGGGTGGCATGGAGGTGGCACACGGAGCAGGACGGGGATGGGATCATGGCAGGGAATGGGATGGGATGGGAATATGGGATGGGATCCATGGAACGGCACGGCACAGCACGGGATCCATGGCACGGGATCCATGGCATCCACAGCAGGACCTGGGCAGCACTCGGAGTGGGATGGAACTGGGGCCGGACTGGGATGAGGATGGTGCCCGTGGTGCGGTGAAGATGATGCCCATGGTGGGATGAAGATGATGCTCACGGAGGAATGAAGATGATGCCCACGGCGGGATGAGGACAGTGCCCATCCTGGGGGGAGGACGATGTCTGTGGTGGAACCCCAAGGTGGGCTCAGGACGGTGCCCCGGGTGGGCTCAGGGAGGTGCCCCGGGTGGGACCGGGGCGATGCCCGGGGCAGGGGCACGGAGAGGCCCCGGCCGGGCCGAGGACGCTGCCCGGCCCCATCCCGCCCCCCCATCCCGCCCGCTGCACATTCCAGGACCCGCTGGGGCGGAGGGAGGAGGGAGGGAGGAAGGCTCTGTTTATGCACTGACGGATTTTTTCCTGCTCACGGATCCTGGCTCCGGGACCAGTCCCCAGCGCCCGGAGCGAGACGCGGCCCCGGTAGCCCGGGCCTGGCCCTGGCCCAGCGCTGGCCACGCCGCCGGCACCTCCTGGCACCGGGGACACCGCGGGGACACCGCGGGGACACCGCGGGGACACCCCGGCCGGCTGGGCAGGCCAGAGCTGGGGTGGCCCTGAGGAAGAGGAGGATGCTGAGCCCCAGGTGGGGTCAGGGATGCTGCAACAGCTCCGGCAGCAAAACATTTCTGCTCCTCGGGCAGCCCTTGGGGCAGGGAAGGGCCGATGGAAAAGCTGAGGCGGGCGCGGAGCTCTCGGCCCGAGGCACAAAGCTGCCCTTGATGGACCCCTGCTCCTCCTCCTCCTCCTCCTCCTCCTCCTCCTCCTCCTCCTCCTCCTCCTCCTCCTCACATCCCGCACGAGCCCCGGGCGATCCCAGCAGCAGCGACATCGCCAGGGCACGGGGACACCCGGGCACCTCTGGGGACCCCCACGACCCCCCGGGCAAGGCTGAGCGTCCCCCTCCCCATGGGACCCCAGCCCTGTTTGGGGTGTCCCCGGCCCCTCTGGGGTGTCCCCAGCCCCTCTGAGGTGTCCCCAGCCCCTCTGAGGTGTCCCCAGCCCCTCTGGGGTGTCCCCAGCCCCTCAGGGTGTCCCCAGCCCCTCAGGGTGTCCCCGGCCCCTCCGGGTGTCCCCAGGCTCACCTTGGTGACAGCCACGGCACACGCGTGGCCCCAGATCTCGATCAGCTGCTGCCGCCCGAAGCGATAATCCTCCAGCAGCTCCTTCTCCATGGCCTCGGCCTCCGCCCGGCTGCCTTGGGGACAGGCCCCGCTCAGGACAGGGGACAGAGCTGTCCCCAACCCCCGAGCGCAGCCGGGACCCCGCTCCACCCCCGGGAGGGATTTTGGGGCACGGGGGGAGCGCGCTGGGGGCTCGGGGTGAGCGCGCGGTGGGGACGGGCACGGGGGTCACGGGGGTGGCACAGGGGTGGCACAGGGATGTCGCACGGGTGGCACACGGAGGGGACCGTGAGCCCGGGGCCCGGGGCGGGAGCGGCGCCCGGCCGAGCTGGCGGCGGCCCCGGTTCCCCGGTTACATAAAAGCGAACAAAGCCGCGGTTGTTCCGCCGCCGCCGAGCCCGGAGCTGGCAGCGCCCAGCGCGACAATAATTGCTCACATCTGTTGGCTTCACCTGCGCGGGCGGAGCGGCCTGGGCCGCCTCCAGCGCCCGCCGCGGCCGCCGGCAGCGAACCCGAGCCCCGCCGGGCCCGGATCCCGGCGGTACCGGGGAACCGAGCGGAGCGGGGGGATCCAGACCCGCCGTACCCCGGGATGGAATCTGAGCCCTTCTGGGCCCGGATCCCGGCGGTACCGGGAACCGAGCGGAGCGGGGGGATCCAGACCCGCCGTACCCCGGGATGGGGGGAACCGCTCAGAGCCAGCCCCGGGAGGGGACCGGGCACTGCCACGGGGCAGCTGAGGGGGCCGGGCTTGGGAACCCGGGTTGGGGTCCCAGGCTGCAGGGTGGTCCCACCGCGCCCAGACTGTCCCTACGGACCAGCCAGAGCCCAAAAAATCCCTTGGTCATTCCAGCAGGGCCCCAGCAAGCTCCTGGTTCCCCCATTCCCACATCCCGTCCCTTGGCTGTCCTGATAAACCGGCCAGGAAAACTTCATCCCTTCCTGTTCCATATTTGCATCCCATATTCCCATCCCATATTCCCATCCCATAGTCCCATCCCATAGTCCCATCCCATATTCCCATCCCATATTCCCATCCCATCCCTGTCCCAATCCTTTGGTGCCCTCTAGTGAGTCCCAGCCCTGTCCCAGCCCCACCCGGGGGTCCTGGGTCAAAGCCGGGGGGAGAAGGGGAGGGAAGGGAGCGAGCGGTGCCCGGAGCCGCTCCCGGGCCGAGCGGGGCTGGCCGGGCCCAGCTCTGTTGTCCTCGCCCGACAGAAGCCGCGTGTCGGCCGCAATTCCCGTTCCCGAGCGCGTTGTCCCGGTCGCTGCTGCCAGGGACGCGCCTGGCCCGGCCCCGCGCTGGTTCCGCGGGGCTGGCACCGGTACCGGCACCGGGCGGGGGGACACAGCCGGGGGCGCCCCGGGAGCTGCGGCCCCAGCCCCGGAACGCATCCCAGTTCTGTATCCCAGTCCCATCCCAGTTCCACATCCCGGTCCCATTCCCCATTCCCGTTTCGCCGCTCGCTCCCGGCACAGCGCGGCCGCGGGACCCTCCCGTCCCCGCCGCTTGTCCCCGCTGTCCCCGCTGCGTGTCCCGCTGTCCCCGCTGCGTGTCCCGCTGTCCCGCTGTCCCCGCCGCCCATCCCGGTCCCCGCGCTCCTCTCCCGCCGCCCTCCGGAGCGTCCCCGCCGCAGCCATGGAGACCCGGGATGCGGTTGCTCCGGCAACGGCGGCTCCGCGGGTACCGACCCACGGCCCCAGGGGACACCCGTGGGGACCGGGACCCCGCCCGGGGCCGGCACCGAGCCGGGGCAGCCCCCGGGGCGGCGGGGAGGTCCCGTTCCACCCCCGCGGGGTCCCGGTCCCGGGGCAGCCCCGGCCGAGCGGCGCCGCCCAGAGCTGCCGGTGCTGCCGGTGCTGCCGGAGCTGCCCGGAGCTGCCGGTGCTGCCGGTGCTGCCGGAGCTGCCGGTGCTGCCCGGAGCTGCCGGTGCTGCCGGTGCTGCCGGTGCTGCCCGGAGCTGCCGGTGCTGCCCGGAGCTGCCGGTGCTGCCGGAGCTGCCGGTGCTGCCGGTACTGCCGGTGCTGCCCGGAGCTGCCGGTGCTGCCGGTGCTGCCGGTACTGCCGGTGCTGCCGGTACTGCCGGTGCTGCCGGTGCTGCCGGTGCTGCCGGTGCTGCCCGGTGCTGCCCGGTGCTGCCGGTGCTGCCGGGGGCTCCCCGGGGGGACCCCCGGGCTCACCTGAGGTAGCGCGGCGGCTCCCGGGGCGGGCAGGGCGCGGAGCTCATGGCGGGGAGCGGGACGGGAGCGGCGGCGGAGCCTCCGCGCACGGCCGGACCGGACCCACCGGAACCTCCGCGGACGCCCCGACCGGACCGGACCGGACCGGACCCGGCGGCTCCGGCTGCTCTGGACCCCCGGGAATGCCGAGGATGCTCCGGCCGGACCGGGGCCGGCGCTCGGCGGTGCCGCCCGCGGGGAGGCGGCTCCGGTGCCCCCGCCCCGCTGCCGGGAATGCCGCCCGCGGTTCCCGGCCCGGGAATTCCAACCGCGCTGGGATTCCGGTGTTAAACCCGCCCGGATCGGGGCTTTGGGGGATCCCCCCCCTCAAAGGGCGGATCCCAATCCCAAAGGGGGGATCCCAATTCTCAAAGAGGGAAATTCCAATCCCAGAGGGGGATCCCAATCCCAAAGGGAGACCCCAAGCGCCAAATAATTTATTCCTTTATTAATTCATTATTTACTAATTATTAATGAACAGGAGTCAGAAGAAGCTCGGGATGGGGGAAACAGCCCGGAGAGAGACGGGAAAAGGGGGGGAAGTTTGGGAAGGGGTGGGAAGGGCGGGGTTTGTGATTTGGGGTTTTTGGGGGTTTGGGATTTGGGGTCAGACGTAGTTCTGCAGGCCGAACTTCTCCCGCTCCAGCTCGCTGCGGGGCCGCAGGAAGTAGAGCTCCTCCAGCGTGGGGGGCACCCAGCGCTCCGTGTGGAAACGGGACTCGCCCACCTGCAACGGCGGGAAACGCGTCGGGAATGGTGCCGGGAACCGCCGGGAAAGGTGCCGGGAATTCTGCTGGGAATTGTGCCAGGAATCGCCGGAATTGTGCAGGGAATTGTACTGGGAACCACCGGGAATTGTGTCGGGAATTGCGCTGGGAGTTGTGTCACCAATCGCTGGGAATTGTGTCGGGAATCACCGGGAACTGTGCCAGAATTGTGCAGGGAATCACCGGGAATTGTGTGGAGAACTGTGCTGGGAATCGTGCAGGGAATCACCGGGAATTGTGTGGAGAACTGTGCTGGGAATCGTGCAGGGAATCACCGGGAATTGTGCCAGGAATTGTGTTAGGAATCTCTGGAAATTGTGTCGGGATTTGTGTTGGGAACTGTGCCAAGAATCACCGGGAATTGTGCAGGGAATTGTGTCAGGAATTTTGATGGGAATCTCTGGAAATTGTGTCGGGAATTGTGTTGGGAACTGTGCCGGGAATCACCAGAATTGTGTCAGGAATTGCACCACGAATCACTAGGAATTGTGCAGGGAATTGTGTCGGGAATTGTGTTGGGAATTGTGTCGGGAACCACCAGGAATTGTGCAGGGAATTGTGTTGGGAATCACCAGGAATTGTGTCAGGAATTGTGTCGGGAATCTCCTCGGGAATGGGGAGGAGCTCCCGCAGCGCTGAGGGGAGGGCACAGAGGGATCTGGAGCGATCCCGGAACGCCAGGGGATCCCAAATCCCACGGGATCCCAGAGGGGCAGCCGCCATCCCCGGGAATGCCGAACCTTCCAGCCCGGAACGTCCCGCATGATCTTGGCCTCCTCCTCCAGGTTCTCCCGCAGCATCCGGAGAGTTCTGCGGGACAGAGGGCACGGGAGGGACCCCATCCCATCCCACAGGGATCCTGATTCCACAGGGATCCCATCCCACAGGGACCCTGATCCCACAGGGATCCCATCCCACAGGGACCCCATCCCACAGGGATCCCATCCCACAACATTGGAACATTCCCAACCCCAGGGCACATTCCCAATCCCAGGAACATTCCCAACCCCAGGGCACATTCCCAATCCCAGGGCACATTCCCAATCCCAGGGCACATTCCCAATCCCAGGGCACATTCCCAATCCCAGGGCACATTCCTGCCCGTACCTGCGGTCCGACTCCGCCTGCAGCAGCGGCATCAGCGCGATCCGAGCTTCCAACTCCTCAATCAGCAACCGCCTGCGGGGAGGCACTGGGAGCACTGGGGGCACTGGGATGCGCACTGGGGGCACTGGGATGGGCACTGGGGGCACTGGGAGCACTGGGATGGGCACTGGGAGCACTGGGAGCACTGGGGGCACTGGGATGGGCACTGGGATGGGCACTCGGGGCACTGGGAGCACTGGGATGGGCACTGGGATGGGCACTGGGGGCACTGGGAATGGGAACAGGGCACTGGGATGGGATGGGATGGGATGGGATGGGATGGGATGGGATGGGATGGGATGGGATGGGATGGGATGGGAAAGGTGCAGGAAGGAGACGGGGGCACTGGGGGGGGTCCCGGAGCTTCACCTGCGCTCGCGGTTCCACTTGACGAGGGTGTAATAACCCAGCAGGAGGCTCCCGGCGCCGAGCGCGAACAGGCTGTACCCTGAGGGACGGGAGACCGTGAGGGGCCGTGAGGGGCTGAGGGCCGTGAGGGACCGTGAGGGGCCGTGAGGGGCCGTGAGGGGCTGAGGGTCGGGAGGGGCCGGGAGAGCCGGCAGGGGCCGTGAGGGCCGCTCAGCCCGCCCGGCCCCGCTCCGTCGCCGCCCGGGCTCCCCGCGGGCTCACCCGAGAGGCCGCGGCGCGGCAGGTGCCGCCGGTAGTCGATGGGGCCGTAGCCGCCCGGCGGGGCCATGTCCTGCTTCACCTTCGGCGCCGCCATTGCGGCGCTGCCCGATGACGTCACCGCGCCGCGCCGCCCGCTTCCCGCGCGCGGGAAACTCACGTGAGGCGGCCACGTGAGCAGTGGGGCCGCCGCTTAAAGGGGCAACGCGCGCTTAAAAGGGCGATGCCACCGTAATGCCCTGGGGCGCGTCCTCTCATCCAATGGGATCCTCGGATTCCTCAGGATCATCCTCCTACCCAGTGGGATCATTGGATTCCTCGGGATCATCCCCCCAGCCAATGGGATTCTCTGATTCCTTGGGATCCTCTTCCCACCCAACGGGATCCACCAATTCCTTGGGATCATCTTCACCCATCATGGGATCCATCACTCTGTGGGATCATCCTCCCATCCAACGGGATCCATCAATTCCTTGGGATCATCTCCCCTCACACGGGATCCATTCCTGACATTGCCCGGCAGTCCCACAGGGAAATAGGGCTGGAAAACCCCAAACATCCGGAATTTTCACAGATTTTTCCAAGCTGGGCTTCACCCGCAGCAGGATTTGTTCCCTGATCCCACCTTTTCCCGATCCCGGAGCGCGGCCGCGACTCCACTGCTGCCCGGGAATTCAGGACAATTCCATGGGAATTCGGGACAATTCCATGGGAATTCCCACGTGGCCGTGGCTCTTCCCAGGCTCCAGAAATTTAGATTTTATCCGGAATCGGGGGGAAAATCCACCTGGGAATGTCCTTGGCCCATTCTCCTTCCAGAGGGAAATGCTCCAACGGCTCCGTGACTTTTTCTGGGAATGTCCAGGTGAAATCCAAGGGTGCTGGAGCAGGAATTCAGGTGGGAATGAGGAAGGGTTGATGGATTTACGGATTTGCTCCGTCGGAATGCCGCGACGCGCCTCTGAAGCTGCTCCATTCACGAAATTCCACAGAAAGCCACAAAAATCCCGGATTTTTGCTGCATTCTTTTCCCATTCTCTCGTCTTTCCAGGGTTTTTTTGGGAATAATCCTCAGGAGAGGAAGGAGCAGATCCGGCTCTGTCTGGGTGATCCATGAGATCCATCCCGACCCCCAAATTCCTGGGAATATGAGGCAGATCCAGGAATTTCTCTGTTTATTATCATTCCAATTCCAACCCCCCCAATTAATTATTGATTAATTATTAATTATCGATTCTGGATCCTTCCACTGGTGGGATTAGTGAGAATTATTAAATTTTGGAATTTATTCTGGAATATTTTGAGTCCCAACAAATCCAAGTAATAAAAACTCCACCCTGTTCTCCCTCCTTCCCAAAGGAGATGAAAAAATGAGCCAAATCTGGGTTTTTCCCCAAAATCTCCTGGAATTTCCCCCATTTCACCCCTTCCTCCAGCCTGAATTCCCAGTTTTCCATCTGGGATTCAACTTGGGGAATTCCAATTCCAATTCCTTCCCCTGCCAAAAAATGGAATAATTGGCTGGGAGAATCCAGAGGTAAAGGAAGAATTCCCAAAATGAGGATAAAAATAGACACGGAATAAAACCCAATCCCGAATCCACTGGAATTTTGGATTTCCTTTGTTTTCCCCAGGAATGGCAGGCGCAGGAATCCCCAGGATATAAAAAATCTGGGAATTCACCTTTTTTTCCGAGCTGGGAACGCCGAGGAAGAAAAGCCTTGGATAGGAAAAAAATTCCAACCCCTTTTTTTTTTTCCATGGTGAAATTCCAAATCCCGACCGTTGGGAACGACGAAATCCAAGAAAAACCACACGGCTCCCCAGTTCCACCGCGGGAATTCTCCCTGGAAAATCCGGGATCTCTTTATTTCACAAGTTGCTAAAATCTAAAGTACAACGGCGCTTCCTCGTTCTCCGCGGTGTCCTAGAAAATCCCAAAATCCCGGCGGCTCCGAGCGGGAATTTTATGGCTTTAGGGACCCCCCGGATCCGGAGCCGCCCCGGAGCGGCTCATGCAGCGAAGCTCGGGAAGAGCGGGAAACAGGATCCAGGATCCCGAGGGATCTGTGGGAATCCAAGGGTGGGGGGGTGTTCCCAGGGATCCAGGAGATCTCCGGGATTTGGGAATGCCAAAGGGGAATCCATGACATATCTGGGATTCCAGAATTCCAGATCTAAGAGATCTCTGGGATTTGGGAATTCCAAAGGGGATCCAAGAGATCTCTGGGATCTGGGAATGCCAAAGGGGGATCCAAGAGATCTCTGGGATTCCAAAATTCCAAAAGCCTCAAGGATTTGGGAATCTCAAAGGGGATCCAAGAGATCTCAGGGATTCCAGAATGCCAAAGGGGATCCAATCAGAGAATCCCAAATTCCAAAGGGGATCGAGAGCAGGAATAAACCCGGAATTTATTCCCAAAATCCCCCCTCCTCCACCATTCCCAAATGTTTCCCTTCCAAGGCAGAATTCCACTACAGGAATTTTCTGTTTAGTTGAGAATTTTTCCCCCCATTTTTCCCATTTTTTGCAGGGCTTTTTCCTGGAAAAAGGAGACCGGGAAGAGGTTTGGAAAATCTGTATTGAAGAGTTGGAACAACTTTGAGCCTGACCCCAATCCCAAAAACCCCACCGGAACATGGAAATGGGGCTGCGAAGGAAAAACCATCCCGGCGTTCCCACACAGGATCTTTGCTCAGATTGATCCCAAATTTAGCAAAAACGTGGATGGAATAAAACAAATCCTCCAAATTCCCGGCAGCATTCCAGGAACATTCCGGAAAAACCACGTCAGAACCAGGCTGGATCCCAGGAGCCGTGTTCCAGGTGGGAATTTGGAGTTTCAGCCCCATCCCATAAAATATTTTGGTTTTCCAGCTCCAGTCCATGCTGGATTTTCCCTCCCTTTCCAAACAAATCCCCCCCCCTCCCCCAAATAATTTAAAAAAAATTTTTTTCCTGAATTATCCTTTCAAAAAAAAAAATTGGGATGGAATATTTGGAAGTCTGGACACAGAGACTTGTTTGGATTTTTAATTCCAAATCCTTCAATTCCAACATTCCCAATGATTTTAATGATTCAGAGTTGGCTGAAATTCCAATTTCCAAGGGAATTCTGCTGGGATCCAGAAAGTTTTGACGTAGTTTTTATCCCTCTGAATCCTTCTGTGACTGTTCCATTCCCTGTTTTTTTTCAGGAATCATCCAAACTCTGGGAATAAACAAACCTGGTTTCCCCCCCACCTCAAAAAAAAAAAAAAAAAAAAAAAAAGGATTTTAATTGGAGGAATTTTGTTGGGATTTTTTTTTGGGAATAAATGAACTTTTTCCAAAAGTTGGCATCCATGAGGAAAAATGCCGAGAGAGGAAAATCCCCCCAAACCAACCCCAGAAAATTCCATGTGGGACAGGAACGACAAGTTTTCCATAAAATCCAATGGAATTGAAGGAATTCCACATCATCCCTCTGGCGGCATCTCCCAATCCAAGCTTGGAATGAAAAGAAAACTCCAAATTCCAAAATTCCAATTCCCACATCTGAGCTCTTCACATCCCTACGGAAAACACCCCAAAATCCGCACCCGGGTGGGAATTCCGGGGGTTTTTATCCAACCAATCCCAGTTTGGAAAACAAGGGTTTTTTGGGTTTTTTCCCTAAACTAAATCCCTAAATACGGAAACGCCGGGAAAAGCGGGAAAAGGGAGGGGTTTTGTCACTCGGATCCGAGGGGGATGATCCCGAAGGAATTCTTGGCTTCAGAGATTCCTAAGAAAATAAATCCGGATTTTCCTGAATTTCCCCCCACACTTTTTTTTTTTTAATATATATAGATCTCTAAATTATATATATTTATAATTTCCCCAAGAAAATTCCCCAAGTTTCCCAAAGAATTCTCCTCACTGGAATAAGGCCTGGAATTCTGCCCCTTGGATTCGTCTGGAATTCGGGAAGAAGCCCAAGGAAAAAGAGGATGAGAAACCAAAAATAAAACCAAACTGGCCCCGGATGGATTTTGGGTTGAACCTCTGGAATTCCCAAAAAAACGATGGAAAACTCCATCCCAAATGGATACAGGAGCATGCTTGGGATGCCTAGAAGAACTCAAACCACAGAGGGAAGGATTGGGAACGGCTGAAATTCCCGGTGGGAATCGGGAATGGCTCCCAACCCTCCCTGCCTGCATCAGCTTCTGGAATTCCTACAAATTCTGGAATAATAGCCCTCAAAACAACAACAGAAAAGGAAAAAAAAAAAAAAACCAAAACAAAAAATCAACCCAACCAACCCTCCCAAAGGAAAAAAAATTCCCAAAATGTTTCGCTTTGGAGTCTCTGGGAACGTCGGGAAGGCCCAAAATTCGCGGGATGAGAAAGAACCAAGGTGGATTTTGTCTCTCGGTAACTGCAAGGTTTGGAAACTACCAACGGTTCCGAAGTCTATTCCAACCAAAATCCAAGGAAAAAAGTGGGAATTTCCCGCAGCAATTCCCACTTCCCAGCCAAGGTTTGGGCGGCAGCCGATCCCTAAGGGGAAAAAAGCAAACCAAACTCAACCGGAATCGGGGATTTGCACTTCTTCTTCTTCTTCACGGGATCGTCGGAATTTTGGGGATCTCGGGATGTGCCGCCTACTTTCCCGGCTGGAAGAGGAGCAGGGAAAAGGAGCAGCCATGAACTCGGCTCACTAAACGCAGGATGGGGCTGGAATTCCTCTCTCCACGCCCAAAAAATTCCGGAATTCCGAAGCTTTCCCGGCAAAAAGTTCAGCGTCGGCGAAGGCAGAGAGGAGTCGCTGAGTCCTTTTGTTTTTGTTTTGTGCTGGTGCCAAAAAAATTCCAAAACTAAATACGGAAAAAGCCAACAAAAAAAAAAAAAAATTAAGGAATTCTTCCCCCTTTCCCTGCCAGCTTCCATGAAAAATCTGGGAGCCAACGGAGCCGGGCTTCGGCCACCCTGCCGCGGTCACTTCTCCCGGCAGGGACGGATGAGGAGTGGTGGTGTCGCATCCTAGAAAGCCTCGGGGCGTTATCCAGCTGGGATTAAAGCAGATTCCACGGAATTGTGGTAGAAAAGAAAGGATGGCAGAGCCTGGAAAAGTTCTCCCTCGGGAATTATTTCCACGTGGCCGACTGTGGGATGGAGCGGGGCG